TGTTATAAGAACCAAAGACTGCGGGTGAGTTATCCCAAATTGGCCAAAGTGGCAGATTTTTAATCCCCTTAACTTTGAGAAAAATGATTACAATTGAAGTAATATTTTAAATTTGAGCTCATGAAAACACATTTTTTTTTAGCTGTAAAGATCTTTTTTTTGTCATATACCTACAATTTGCAAAAATTCGAAAATTGAATCAACAAAAAAAACTGACCCAAGTATAATATTCCCAGCTTTTCAGTCAAAAATCCGACAAAAAAACTGTATTTTAGTTTCATTTTGTCCAGTTGTATAAATTTTTATCAAGCTAAAATTGAAACAAATTTCTTAAAAAATATCATATGTTTTTAAAAAATTCCTGTTGATGACGAATGTCATACTGCGTAAACAGTATGCTTGATAGTGATATTATGATGACACTCCTTGCTATGATTTGGTGTTTCAACCGCCTTTTTTACAAGATGACCCTCATGCTATGTTATTCATTAAAATGGATGTTCAATTTTGAAGTGTGATTACTACAATTTACAAACAACAAGAAAGGTACGAAAAGAGCTCAATTGAAAAGTGTGTTATTTTCTAACTAAACGCAATTGCAGTGGGACCTAACAAAAAAAACCACGGAGCTTTTATATTCAATCTTTGCTTCCAACACGTCTGAGTAAGTGTATGCAAGTTCTGACAATCCTAAGCAGAATTAAAAAAACCAGGCATCTACTTAGCAATTGATATACCCCTATGGTATCTATTAAAATATTGCCACCCCTATAAATAAAATCAGTAAATCTTCAAATATTGAAACCAAATATTGAAATTTCAATATGGAAACCATTGAAACAGTCTACGGTATCTGCTCAAAAATATTGAAACCACTGAAACAGTCTACGGTATCTGCTCAAAAAATTGTGCAAATCTTAAATTTGTTCATTTGAATTTTCAAAGTATTATTAGAAAACGGATGCAATTGAAAAAATTTCTTGATGATATGGGCGAAAATACAATTATAGGAATTTCCGAAACGTGGCATAAAAAAGAAGATAGTGACAATTTATGGAATTTCCAACCTAGAACGCATGCGATGTTCAGATATGATAGGCAATCAGCGGTAAAAAAGAAAGGCGGTGGCTTTTTGTTATATATACCAGTCAAATTGGCTCCAAAATTGAGGCCTGATTTAAATTTATTTGATAAAGAAAAATATGAGTCAGTGTATGTTGAGTGCAAATCTACATTTAACATTTCCAGTAAAGAAAAAATGTTAGTTAATTTAAGTTATAACCCAAGCAGATCAAACTTTATTGATTTTTTGGAACAATTAACGCTTAACATAGATAATGCATTTTCAGTTTCTAATAAAATTACGCTTCTGGGTGATTATAACATAAATTATCTGGATAGCAAAGAAAAAGAAAATTTAGATTCTATAATTATTCCATATGGATTGAAGGTTTTTTGTCCATACGATGAGACCAGAATTAGTTCCTCAACAAAAACTTATATCGACTACATAATCAGTGACTATGAAACAAACAGCATTGAATTTTGTTTTGATACACCCTATAAAACCGACCATTTTGCTTCATTTATTTTGACGGATATAAAATGCGGCAAAATTTTACCGAGAATAATTTCGACTTTCAATAAGAAAAATTATCAGAAAAATGAATTTTGCAATTCACTCTCCGCTCTTCCTTGGTATCTCTTATATCAATGTACAGACGCACAAAACATGTTCTCGACGATGATTAATTTAATTTCTTGTGCTCTACAGCAACATGCTCTTATCGAAAAAAAGTTTGTTCGTAATTTTAAACCAAAAAACGTGTTGAAAACGGAATGGTTCGATTCAGAATGTCAGCAATTGTTGACTAAGAAACAGAATTTACTCAGATCATATCGCAGTCAAAGCACAAGCAATAATTGGTCAAAGTACCAGTTTTTACGTAATCAAATGAGCCAATTGATTAGAAGTAAACAACTCGATCATTCAAAAAATTGTTTTTCACTTCTCAGCACTATCCAACAAAAATGGAAATATAATAACCAAGTTATAGGTACATGTTCTGGCAACAATCGAATTACAGTTTTACGAAATTCCTTCAGTGAAATGATAACCCAAGACAAAAAAATTGCCAATCATTTAAATTATATTTTTTCAAACTTAGGCGAGTTTTTCGGCGCTAAAAAGCCTCCGAATTACAACAAATCTGCCTCTGAATCTGCACCTTTCCATTTTCAACACATTACAGTGAAGCAATGCTTTGATATAGTTCGAAAAATCAATGTTAGAAAACCTCTCGGACCTTGTACCGTACCTGCTTGGGCAATCATGACGGTCAATCAGTTATAGTTCCACATTTAACTTTTGTCATAAATACTTGCTTAGATGAGAACATTTTCCCGATCGAACTGAAAAAAGCAAACGTAACCCTTTTGTTTAAAAAAGATGACCCAATGGATGCAAAAAATTATCGGCCAATATCAATAACTTGTGCTTTTTCTAAAATTTTTGAAAAAATTTTACATGCCCAAATAACAGAACATCTTGACAAATTTCAAATAATGACACCATTTCAATTCAGATTTCGCAAAAACATTTCAACACAAGATGCTCTTGTTTATGTGACAGAAAGTATTCGAAATCAAATAGATTCAAAAAAAATCGTACATGCAGCTTTATTAGATCTGTCCAAGGCTTTTGTTTCTATTTGGCATGAAGTTTTAATTGAAAAAATGCTTTCTCTCGGTTTTTCAAATGGAGCAAATGCTTTAATTGCTAGCTTCCTAAACAAACGTATTCAAAGAGTAAACGTCAATGGAATTTTTTCAGACTGGATTGAAATAAAACGAGGTGTCCCACAAGGAACGGTACTTGGTCCGTTGTTGTTCAATTTATATGTTAATGACATACAAGAGCGATTATATGAAGGTTGTACTTTAGTTCAATATGCTGACGACTGTATGGTTTTTTCCTCTTCTATAATTTCTGAGGATGCTTTGAATCGATTGCAAAAATCATTCAATAATCTAACGGAATTTTTTGCAGAGAACCAATTGAATCTGAATGCATCTAAATCGGAATTTATAACATTTTGTCAAAAAAATGATAGCAAAAATGTGGATACTGATAAACTAGTAATTAGTGGGCATTATGTAGCCAAAAAATCAGAATGCAAATATTTAGGCATAATTCTTGATTCAAGTTTATCTTTTCATGCTCAAATCAAAACAATTCTCCAAAAAATGGCCCAAGGGATTAAAACTATTGATACAATTGGACAACAACTGCCGACATTATCATTAGTTGCCTTGCTTCATTGTCTTGTTTTATCACATTTAGATTATTCAGCAATTTTTTACAACAAATTAATGCTACTTTGATGCTATCTTTAGAGAAACAGTTGAACTGGGCGCTAAAAAGAACATATTTCAGATCGAAATTTAAATCTTGTTCCCTTCTTCGCATTAGCAAATTGTTCATTGGAATCGAGAAAAGAATTGAGTTAAAGTGCATAACATACTTATACCAATATCTTACAAACAAAAAGAAGGCTTTTGAAAATACACTGAGACTACCGACTGCCAATTATAGGCTCAACGAAAGAACGAAACAAATTATTTTTGACAAACATTGTTCGACTGCTTCTCTACAAAAATCATTTTTTCATTTGACTTCTAAAAAATGGAATTCACTGACCATAATTTTGCGCAATTTAGAAAAATCGAAAACAGAATTCAAGAAAAAATTGAAAGAATTTTACGTGAGTGAATTGAGAAACAATCCTATATGTACTAATACAAATACGTGGCGTGATTTCCGTTTTTGCTAGTTCTATATGTTTTAATTCAGTTTAATTTTTCACACATTGCTTGAAAGAGAAACTGAATATACTCTGTATATACGCTGTATAATTGGACTATCTGTAAAATTGTTTGTAAAGTTTTATTACCAGCTTGTTCCTAATTCTTAAATCTTTATTTTTCTATAGTATCCGAAACTTCATATACTTTAATCAACCAATTTCCGAACTGTAACCGATTTTGTTTTTTTGTTTTGTTTATTGCTTGTTTTCTGATGTTTTGTTTTTGTTTGATGTAACCAATGAATTTATAACCAATTTTATTATTTACACTTTGCTACACTGATGCCTCGGCTCTTTATTGTATAGTAATTCAAGTGTTCTTTCTTCTTCTTCTTCTTCTGAAAGGGGCGTAACTGATAAAAAGATCCGAAATCAGTACCTGTATGAGTGGATCCTTGGTTATTATATCGCACCATTCCTTGTGGTTCTCGATCGTCAAAATCCGAGTGGCGTACTGCAGAGAAACAAACGTGCTTCCCCCGCTTCCCCACTCTACGTATGACATACACTTCTGAGATTCCTTCTTCTGCTTCAAATAACGGCGAAACACTTCGATGTCGTCTTTTTTCATCATAGGACTTTTTCTTTTTGAATTTTTCATTATTTCCGGGCAAGTGCTGGAATTGACAATGCCGTTGCGTTCGATGACTGTTTTGTCCGTGATTTCTAGTTTCGGGTTGACCGGTTGCCTTATGAGTTCGTGTAAAGGTCTGCATTCGTCGTTTTCGGGTTCCGAATTATTAGAAAACAAAGAATTGTAATTCAGACGCTGAAGATTTTTGTGCATCTCGGGAAGAAGCACAAGCTGTGAACTGTTAGAAAAAAAGTAACCGAAAATGGCTGATAAGACGAGGACTAATAAAACTCCTTGGATCCAGCTAAATTTTGTGGGTAGATTCGGCATTCTTACATTCAACTTATAATAACAATAAATTCTGATGCTACGTCTAATTGCAAAACTGAAACTTACGGCGCACAATTTTTGCTAAAACCAATATGATTAATAATTCAGGTAGATGAAAAATTTAAATGAACAATGAACAACTGAATTGCTCAAACAAAGAACAAATGTAATTTCACCAGACTAGAAAATCGACCATATATAACATCAGCCTTTAAATGCGTGAATACCATGAGACTTTGCGAGAGCTTAAGTGATCATGATCATTTGGAACATTGTAAAATAATTAAAAAAACACAGTTGTTAATCCCACGAATTGTTTTTAGAATCATATAACGTTTTACCATGACTTTTTCCGACTAAACTTAAAACAATCAAATACTTCACAAAATCAAATCAGTGACTTTACGAATTGAGTTAGGACTGCGGTGTAACTCATAGAGTAATTTCGGATAGGGTACACCGTCTGCTCGTCACGCTATCTTATTTTCGGCCGGATAGATTCGTGCAACTTCTTAGTCTAATACCGATCCTAATCTTACTCTTATACTATCTAGTCTCAGGTTGTTTAACTAGTCTCTGCTAGGCTCAATAGATCTAGGGTATACTGGTTTATTGCGGCTGCTGAAGTGCTCGGGAGAGTCCAACTAATTTCTAAGTTAAATTCAAATCTCTCTGGTGCTGAAATTACAAGTAACTTCAGCACTTACAAATAAGTGGGTTGTTAGTTAGATGGATCATGATTGGTTAATATTAAATACTTTACATTGGTAAAACATTTAATTTATCCAATCATAAAATATAGTTTAGATCAGGTTCCACCCATCCGGGTTTTACAGAGTTTTTTAGAACAGTTCTTTTGTAGTTCAAGGATGGATGATGGACGTTGGTATTTGGCGAACATCATTTTTCTTTTGTTTCCTTTTTGTTAAGGAAGTTCCAGGGATCTGGAATTGAGGACACAAGACGTTGTGTTCTTCTTGTGACAACGACTGAGTCTCTGCAACAGCATCAATTCTGGTTTCAGAATGGTTGGCTATGTCAGGTTTTTCTGTTCTTCGGAGAGAACTTCTTTTGTGTTTGATCTAGCTCGGGAATGGCGTGGAGATTGTGCGTGGAGGGGATGCCTGGTTACTCGGATCTGTACGTATACTTGAACATCGAGGTGGTCATTGGTCTAGTTCAATGAAGTCCTTTTCTGCGAGGTCAAGTCGTACTCTAAATCCTTTGAGTTGTGATTGTGAGCGGCATATCGATTATAGTTGGTCATTCTCTCTCGAGTGTAGTGAGGTCGTCTTGTCTTTTGATGTTCGTCCTTGGTGTTGTATTCTGATCTATATATTGCATCATGTGATTTTACATTTTATAAAACTTTTATTAATTTAATATTTTTTAATTATGATTTTAGTTAGTTGTTTTCACAAAAGCTTTTTGTTTTAGTTCGGTTATTTTGAAGAGTTACTCACCCTTGAGTAGCTCTTATTAAAAATAAAGGTGTGGTCACAAAGCGTGGATGTAGCACGGTGGGTTAGGCCGGCTATAGAGCATGCTCAGGACGTCCTTTCCTGGTGGGTTAGGCCAGGTGTGGGAGTATGATTTCATGCGGTTTTTATGAGGGGTCCTGTTATGTGACAACATTTTATGTTGGGTTTGTTGTGGTTTTACTTATGTTTTGTTGGTTATGTACTTTTTCCAAAAAGCAAATTGTTTGTGGTATGGGTTTGTCTTTTGACTTTTTTGTGTTTTATTATTTCTTTCTAAGACTTTGTAATAGTCTTCAAAAGAATAAATTATCCAGTTTTAAACTGGGTTAATCCGGTTTGGGTACCGTTGGTTTCCTTTTCTTAGTCATGCTGTTATTTTATGATTTGTGGTATTTAGTAAGCTGCGTTGGTTAGTTTTGTTTAGTATATGATTCCTTTCCAACCGGGTTAAAGGAAAGTTTGAAACTTGTTATTATTTGTTAGAGTTGTTGAGTGTGAAAACTTGAAACTGAAATTCATTATTTTAAACAATTCTTCGTGGGCGAGCTGTGCGAGTGTGGATAGAATTTCTGTGCGAATGAATGGAAATATCAAAAGGTTAGTACTGCAATTGCATTTTATTAATTTACTGCATAGAATTTGGAAATTTATTGCTAGTAATGGGGGAATTTTAAGATACAAATTTTCATCATATGTAGATTTACTGCTTTTAGGGAAAATTTTATAAATTAATGTACTGCATTGGTATTATATTTATTTAATTGTTGGTGCAAAAGTTAAATAGGGTTTTAAATAGTTTTGAAGAAGTTTGCTATTTTTTATTTTTCTTTTGTGAATTTTTCAGATGATTGAAGATGAAGGCTAAAAATCTAAAGAAAACATGAATAAGGAATGGTGAGTTTTTCAATATTTTAATTAGTTAGTAATATTCATTTAGTTCATACTTACCTGTTAGTCGTCGGGGAAAAAACCGTGGGGGAAGATATCGTGAATTAGTTCTGAAGTTGTTAGTAGTTTAGCTAAGATGCGGATGATATTTTTAGTTTGAAGTAGTGGCCAAAGCAATTGAAGTGCCTTAATAGTGGTTAGTTCTTCAGTGCCTACTGCAAACTCATAAGGTGTGTTTTGGATTAAGTTATATAACTTGTGGTTAAATTTAGTGTTGTGGATGAATTCTAAAATGGGGATTTCTATAGGCTGTACAAACTCGTGCGGGATAAGGAAGGGTCGGGATTCTTCTGCGTTGAAGGTCTTGGTGATGGGGCAGAAAATATACATTTGGGTTATGGGGTCATAATTACGAAGAATACCATGAAGGTTAGTATTTTTAATACAATATGTGAAATTTAGGAAATACGGTGAAGTGTATTTTGAATTGATGAATTGAAAGCGATGGTGTGGTTGTCTAGAGGGTGTGTGGAGGTCAAAGTGATTTTGGATGAAACGATAGTAACTGTATGTATGTGTTTGTTTAGTTCGCAACATAATATCGTGTGAGCAGTGTAAATCTCTTTCGTGTGGTGCAAGGAAATGAAAGGTTAGTGAAAAGATTTGGAAGCGTTCTTTAAAACTTTCGTACGCTTGTGTGCTTGTTAGTGCTTCTGAAATAATGTGATCAAACTTTCGGTCGAAGATGTTTAGTGTAAATACATATGGTGTCTTGATGAAAAATTTCTCGGTGATTTGTGGGTTAGCGAAGCGATCGTCGTCTAAGAATTGATCTTGGTTAGCTCTGATGATGTTGTGATCATAGTATTCTAGTGTGTATTCGTTAGCTCTAGGTGCAGTGTGTATTTTTAGTGATTTTTTATATCCAACGTAAGTAAATTGTCTAGCGGTGAGTGGTGTAGTTAGTCGATATAGCATGTCTTTGTTTCGGTCTATATCAATGGATGTGTTAGTTAAAGGTAAGCAAAGAGGGTTAGTGAAATGATAGTATGAGGTCCAAGAGAGAGTGGGCATTAAAACGTATTCGTCTACAAAGTTGCGTGTTTCGTTAGCGTCATGAGGGGTGTTTAAGGTGTATTGTGGAAATGAGGGTAAAGTGATGGCTAAAAATTCTCTAGTGTTAGTATGTTGGGGGTGGTTGATGTATTCTCGGGCTGTTCCTGGTTTTGCTGGGAAAGGATGGTTGGGGAACTTTCTTTTAAAAGTGCGATAAGCTCTATTAGTGTTGAGTGAGGATTCAGTTGATGTGGATGATGGTGCTAATGATTCGGTATAATTTGAAGAGGGTGTAGGGGGATTGGATGAATTTGTAGTGGAGGAGATTTGGTTTATGGTCGGGGTGTTAAGGTGGTAGGGTTGTTGTTGGAGGGTAATAAAATTGTCTAGCTCTGGGGAGATTCGGGGGGTGTCTGGAGATGATTGGTCAGAATGGTATGAGGAGTAGGTTGGGGTAACTTGGGAAGCATAAGAGGGTGTAGGAGTGATTGGGTCAGGGTTATTTGATAATATGGGTTGAAAAGGAGGTTGAGAAAAATGAGAAGGGTTATGAAAATTATTGGATGGAGATGGTTCTGAGTCGGCAAATTCGTCGGGGGTTTCAATATTCGGGTTATTTAGCTGTGAAATGGAGTATAAAACTGAAATTTGTGAGTTAGTGTCGGAATTCATGCCTGATGTTACATTGCTAGATGGAAAATCGGGTGGCGGAAAAGCAAAAAGTGGTATTATTGGGATTGAAGAGGTAAGGTTGGTTGGATGGGAATTTGATCGATGGAGTGATCCAAGTTGGCGGCTCATCGTGGGCTAAAAAAATTATTATTTTGAGATTGAAAAGCGGTGGTATGGGGCTGTTCAATAATTTGTTCATAAGTATTATCATCTTGTGATGGATGTGTCATTATATGTTGGACGGGACTTTGTGATGTGGTGAGTCGAAAATTTGGATTATGTGTGATTGCTAAATTTCTAAAATTTCGCGGGGCTAGGGATAGTGGATGGTTATTTGGTAGGGGTGGTAATTGTGGTGCCGTTGGCTGTGTGTCGACATTGTTATGTTCTTCGTCGTATGTATTTTGTCGTGTTGTTATTTTTGTGTTATATTCTTTTATTTGTGCGTCTAAAAGAATTTTGTTTATAGATGTGGAAAAAATTCCAAAAAATCCTGCAAAGAGTATGCGTGCTACGCTTGCTTGTCTGTTTACTTGTGTGTGTATAGCACATGTATTGTAGATTCCTTTTAAGAGTGAGAAAAGAAATCCAATAAAGTTAAACATTGCGTATAAAATAGTCAATTTTTCTAAGATGTAGTAGGGCCATCCTAGAAAATCTAGGATCTCATTTTTGAGTGTAACAAAGCTAAAAATGTTAATTGGTGATATATCTTGGGGACGGTATTTTTCGCCGTTTAGATATATATAATCTTTTATGTCTTTAAAATATCCGCTATAGTCTTGCGTGTAGATATCGGCAAATCCTGCGGTTTCTGCAAGTTTGCGTAAGTTTTGGTCTATTGATTGTCTTTGTATAGTGTCCATTTGTGTTAATAATTCTTGGAATTGTTGTGTTCTAATGTGATGTTGAATATCTGATTTTGAATAGATTCCTATTGATTGTAAGTCTATATTTGGGTTTCGAGCAATAGCGCGAATGCTTTCTGGTGAAAATTTTTTGAGTGATTGCATTAATGTGGGATATGGAGTGAGAAGATA